TCCACGTTCCCAATAAAGCTCTTCTTATCATATGTAAATTAAAATGCTTATGCTCTTTATCCTTTTTATACCATAAATAAGCGTGCCAGCCTAGCTGTAAATCATGTCCTTCCAAGTTGAGTACTCTATCATTTTCCAAAGTTATCCATTCTTTTATCCAATCTAAAATACAGGATCTATAATACAGAACCCAATCTGGAAGACCAAAGCCACCCCTATGTTTGGCATCTTGTATTGCTTTAATTTTAATTCTTTGTTTTTTTACCTTGCCATACAAATCTCATGATTATCTTATTAAGTTCTTGGAAAAAGGTCTGTTTTAATATGATAGGGATTGTCTGAAATAAGAATAAAAATTTTGGCAAGACACTCATTTTAATCGTTGCAATCCTTCCCAACAGCGATAATTGTAATTTATCCCATTTCTCCAAATTGTTCTGTATCTCCATCAATTTCATATAATTGTCTTTAAATAGTCTTCTTTTAATTTGGATCCCTAAATATCGAATTCTCTTTTCCTCTTGGAAGTTCGTCTTCTCTACTAACTTCTGTCGTTCTTGTTCTCTTATATTTTTATTAAGTATTTTTGTTTTCTTTTGGTTTATTCTCATTCCTGCCATATCACCAAAGCTTTTCAACGTCGCCATCAGGTTATCTATTGAATGCACTGGATCTTCCAGTATAATGACTAAGTTGTCTGCAAAAGCCTGAAGTTTGTAGTTTTGGCCTTTTACTTTCAATCCTTTCAATTCCTTTTTATCTCTAATTTGTTCGGTTAATATTTCTAGAGTCAAAATAAATAGTAGTGGAGAGAGTGGACACCCGTCTGGTACGTTTCTGTATTTGTATTTCTTTCGACAACTCGCTGTTAATTCTCAATTTTGCCTTAATTCAAGCTCTCTATAGACCCAGTCTGGCCATGTCTGGTGGAAATGTTAGCACTGTAGCAGTGCTTAACAAGTCCTTTCTAGATTTCAATGTTCTCCTTGGAGGATGACAATCATACAAAGGATCATGAGCTGCATTTTGTGCTGCCTTTATTTCTTTTATTATTTGCTATAAATTCCTATAGTACTCTGGATGGAGAAAGTGTATACCTGATCCATGGGTTTCGTAGCTGTTCACAGACTTTAGCCATGATCAGAGCGGATGTGATTTAAATCAAATGGTTTAAATTTTAAATATTGGGGGAAATGACTGTGACAAACCCAGACCTACTGGGATATGTCACACAGTTACACTAAGCTGCCACCAACCATTCCCTATAAGAAGTCACACAGACCCGGGATGGATTTTCAAACAATAAAAAGAATAAGGTTTATTTAAATACACACACAGGGAAAATAAAATAATCAGGTGAATAAGATAAAGTAACGTGGCTTATTCTCATTCATACATGCACACAGTTTGGTTCACCCAGAACCCTTTAACTTGAAGCACAGACCCTGAACCTATCAGTTCTGGCTAACCAACAGACACCTGAACCTATCAGGTTGGTACTCTGACACACAGTAGTACCCTGTCTGACACACAGACTCCCACAACAGCTTCTTCTTCCCAGCTGCTGCTTCGTCACAACCCAGTGTCTCTCAGCATCTCCTTCTC